GGCATCATTGGGGAGCCTAACCTCTCCACTCTGCTCCGATTTCAGTTCCCTGACAATTACCTTTGTGGTTTGTCATTAACCAATGTATTTGTTATTAGATTCTGATGGGTTGTTGAATGTTGCTTTGTTTGATATACAGTAGTGGTAAAATTGTGGAAGCCTTTTGTGGAAAAAAGTATATTTCAGAGGTTTGATGGCTCATAACCCTGCTTTTTTTTTAGTAATATCATAAAGTTATGTATCAATGGAAAGATAATTTAATCAAGAATGTAATTACCTGTATTCTATCAAATGTTATAGCCAAATAACTAGAAAAAGGAAGCACATTTGCTTAGGTTGACTTTTGTCATATTCTTATGTGATTGCTATCAAGTTGGTTGGTCTTCTTTCATTTCATGAGTTTGAAGAACATAATAGAAGAAAAGAAAAATATGTGAGAAGAAGAATCGGAGAAGATTTACATCCCACTTGCATTACACCTACCGTGAAGCACCCAGTTAGTGTGATGATCTGGGCTTGTATGACAGCAAAAGGTGTGGGCAGAATTTGCTTCATTAATGGGAATGTAAAACCCCCAAATACATAAAGCAAACACTTGAGCCCAAACTGAAGCATGTGATCTTTTCCCAGATACTGAAGCATTTTTATTTGTTTTCTATTTCCGCAGGATTCAGCTTCATGTCATGTTGCTCCTTTGGGCAAAAGGTGGTTTCAAGATAATCATATTCCACTGCTGGGATGGCCTGGGAATAGCCCAGACCTTAACCAAATGGAAAATCGATGGAGCCGACAAAAGAATCTTTTAAGCAACCCAGCAATACAGTGGTACCTTGGTTTACGAACTTATTCCGTTCCAGTAGTCCATTCTTAAACCAAAGCATTCTTAAACCAAGGCGTTCTTTCCCATAGAAAGTAATGCAAAATGGATTAATCCATTCCACTTTTAAAAACAACCCCTAAAACATTTATTTAACATGAATTAATAATAATAATAATAATAATAATAATAATAATAATAATAATAATAATTTATTTGTACCCCGCCCATCTGGCTGGGTTTCCCCAGCCACTCTGGGTGGCTTCCAACAAAGATGAAAAATACACAAAAATGTCACATATTAAAAACTTCCCTGAACAGGGCTGCCTTCAGTTGTCTCCTGAATGTCAGGTAGTTGTTTATCGCTTTGACATCTGATGGGAGGGCGTTCCACAGGGCGGGCGCCACTACCGAGAAGGCCCTCTGCCTGGTTCCCTGTAACTTGGCCTCTCGCAGTGAGGGAACTGCCAGAAGGCCCTCGGAACTGGACCTCAGTGTCTGGGCAGAACAATGGGGGAGGAGACGCTCCTTCAGATATACTGGACTGAGGCCGTTTAGGGCTTTAAAGGTCAGCACCAACACTTTGAATTGTGCTCGGAAACGTACTGGGAGCCAATGTAGGTCTTTCAAGACCGGTGTTATATGGTCTCGGCGGCCGCCCCCAGTCACCAGTCTAGCTGCCGCATTCTGGATTAGTTGTAGTTTCCGAGTCACCTTCAAAGGTAGCCCCACGTAGAGCGCGTTGCAGTAGTCCAAGCGGGAGATAACTAGAGCATGCACCACTCTGGCGAGACAGTCCGCAGGCAGATAGGGTCTCAGCCTACGTACCAGATGGAGCTGGTAAACAGCTGCCCTGGATACAGATTTGACCTGTGCCTCCATGGACAGCTGTGAGTCCAAAATGACTCCCAGGCTGCGCACCTGGTCCTTCAGGGGCACAGTTACCCCATTCAGGACCAGGGAATCCTCCACACCTGCCCGCCTCCTGTCCCCCCAAAACAGTACTTCTGTCTTGTCAGGATTCAACCTCAATCTGTTAGCCGCCATCCATCCTCCAACCGCTTGTTACTATCTAACAAGACCATTGGTCCATAAAATGAAAGGAATAATCAATGTATACCACTGTATAAAAATTTCTATATCCCTCCCTTCATCCCAATCTCAGACAGCGGTTCACAACATAAAAACACATAACGAGAACACGAGTTAACCAGCTTGACAATGAGTAGTAGTTACTTCCCTCTGGAAGTGGAGAAGAAGTTCCACACTGCTCAGATGGAGCTTGTTGGGCAAGACACAGAGAGTTTCCACATTTGGGAATTCCAACATTGCTTGCTGGGAACGCTGATGCAGGAAAGCTGCTACGTCAAGCAACCTTCTATCTTCTCGTTTGAGGAGCACCAGGAGGTACCAGACAAGGGTGGGGAACCCAGACTCTACGTGGGCCAGCCGTGGCAGAAAGGTTTGGCTGCACATTGCTTTGGGTTACCCTGGGCAAGTGACTGACAAATTTGGAAAATAAAATTGAATAATAATCTCAGAATCTTGTCAGCAGGAACAACTTAACTGAAAACAACACTACTTTCCGCAATGGAGACACAAACAGCATCCGCATCCATTATCAATTAGTTGAGGTTGCATTCCAGGGGGTTGGACCCTGTGAGGAGAACCTGAGCTTGCAGGGCTAAACAGCTCAGTTCTATCGCCCTGCCTTCTGAGGGGGCGGAGAGATCCTACATATACATCTGGGATCTGTTTCTTTGTTCTGTTATTCTGCTTTCGCTTTCGTCCGGTGCGGAGATGCTTTTTCTGCCTGATACAGGATGATTGATACTGCTGTAAAATAAACACTTCTAGATTAGAGAAGCTGGCTGGACTCTTGATTTATGCACACTTAATGCAAGCACAGAGGCCCGAAGGCTAAACACGCTGTGTTTACTCTGCTGTGTTTACTCTGCTGTCCTCAGAGGTCCGGGGAAAGCAGCATGCGCACCGAAAGCCTGCAGGACCTTTACCCTGAGCAATATTTCACAGACCCTTTTCCACCTCTGCAATTCTATGATTCAATAACTCAAGAGTCCTTAGATTTGCAAGTACAAATGGTGCTGCTTTTAATTTTCATTCTGGTTTTGAAGTGTTGTTGTTGTTTAGTCGTTTAGTCGTGTCCGACTTTTCGTGACTCCCTGAACCAGAGCACGCCAGGCACTCCTGTCTTCCACTGCCCCCCGCAGTTTGGTCAAACTCATGCTGGTAGCTTCGAGAACACCATCCAACCATCTCGTCCTCCGTCGTCCCCTTCTCCTTGTGCCCTCCATCTTTCCCAACATCAGGGTCTTCTCCAGGGAGTCTTCTCTTCTCATGAGGTGGCCAAAGTCTTGGAGCCTCAGCTTCAGGATCTGTCCTTCCAGTGAGCACTCAGGGCTGATTTCCTTCAGAATGGAGAGGTTTGATCTTCTTGCAGTCCATGGGACTCTCAAGAGTCTCCTCCATCACCATAACTCAAAAGCATCAATTCTTCAGTGATCAGCCTTCTTTATGATCCAGCTCTCACTTCCATACATCACTACTGGGAAAACCATAGCTTTTACTATACGGACCTTGGTTGGCAAGGTGATGTCTCTGCTTTTTAAGATGCTGTCTAGGTTTGTCATTGCTTTTCTCCCAAGAAGCAGGTGTCTTTTAATTCTGTGACTGCTGTCACCATCTGCAGTGATCATGGAGCCCAAGTGTACGTAACCCCAAAAGATCGTGAACTAGGCTGTTTGGAACCCGAGGTACCACTGTAAAGATCAATTAATAGGGGCAATAATTGAATCTTGGCTTCACACTATTACAGCTGCAGAACAAAAAAATAAAACTTCCTTCACTCCGTGGGAGGGCGCTGTAAGGCAGTAAAGAAAGCTAACGGTTACCAAAGTAAATATTGACATGGTGAGAATTTCTGCAGATCTCCTTTTTTCTTTGTGTTTCACATTTCTTCTTCATGACTGCTGTTCTAATAAATATTATTGCATTACATTCTTCATTAAATTATTTTTCCAATGCTATATAATTTTTTGGTATTAATCCCCCTAAAAGGGGTGTTTTGAGCCATCAAACCTTGGAAATACACTTTTCCCAAAAGGTTTCCATAATTTTGGCCACTAGTGTAAGTTGCTCATTTTAAAGGTAATCTACTTTTTATATGCGGGATGCAGGTGGCGCTGTGGGTAAAAGCCTCAGCACCTAGGGCTTGCCGATCAAAAGGTCGGTGGTTCGAATCCCTGCAGCGGGGTGCGCTCCTGTTGTTCGGTCCCAGCGCCTGCCAACCTAGCAGTTCGAAAGCACCCTTAAGTGCAAGTAGATAAATAGGGACCGCTTACTGGCGGGAAAGTAAACGGCGTTTCCGTGTGCGGCTCTGGCTCGCCAGATGCAGCTTGTCACGCTGGCCCCGTGACCCGGAAGTGTCTGCGGACAGCGCTGGCCCCCAGCCTCTTGAGTGAGATGGGCGCACAACCCTAGAGTCTGGCAAGACTGGCCCGTACGGGCAGGGGTACCTTTACCTTTACTTACTTTTTATATGGGATCAGATTGTTATTATTAATGTTTCATGTTTATATGTGTGTTGGAAGCCGCCTAGAGTGGTTGAGGCCACCCAGCGAGATGGAAGGGGTATAAATAAAAATTATGACTATTACTATTATTATGATCACTGCTACTACTACCTGAGACTCAATAAGCCTGGCTCTTCTCTGGGACGGATTTTGTTTGGCCCAGTCATGGCTTCCCCTCCATCGCCAATGTCAGTCGTCTCTTTGGTCAACCCAAGAAAACAAAAACAGAAAACCTGGCAGAAGCTACTTATCTTTCCTAACAACTCTGAAGCTGACATTTAAGATGCCTGGACAGTTCAGACCATCCAAATCGTGGTATAAAAAGGCAGAACTGGAGGAAGATGGTTCACAGAAAAAACTGGAATTTGCTGTTCAAGGTTTATTGTGGGGGTGTTAGGTTCCCAGGTGTTGTATTGGGCGCTGCTGAGCTCTGTGGAAATGTATGAGGTTTGTTACATAGAGGTGTTTTTTGAATTTGCAGGCAGATAGGACGATCCCACAGGGAGCCTTACCAAGAGAGGCCACGATCCCACGATTCTCCTCCATGATGCCCTTGTGCAGAGCTCTCTGGTCAGGATCCAGCAACGCCCACTCCTCGTCCGTGAAACAAACAGCGACATCTTCAAAGCACACTGGACCCTAAAAGAAAAAGGGAAATGTCCTCCTCTGAGACAGCAGAAATATGACCTGGTACACAATGCTCTGTTCTTTCCTTCCTCTTAATTGCTGCGTTGTTTCAATAGGATTGCTTTGCTGCACATTTTTATTATGGATGTCTATTTTGACGTTTTAATTGAATTATTTTATTCAGCTTTTAATTATGGGTATTCATCTTTGTGCAAATAGGTGGCTCTCTTCCTTGTGGTTTTCAAGTCATCCTGCCTACGCAGGGATTCCAGTTTCCCAGATGGGAGGATCCCCTTTCTCCTCTCCTCATGTCCTGTTCTGAAGAGGATCCTTCCCAGTGCCCCACAGCCAGATTCCAGGGGTTCAAGGGGGCATGGAGAGGGGGAGGAACGGGGGAGAGATAATCTAGCTGAGACTCCTGCAATGCAGGGGGTGGGACTTGATGACCTTTGGGGTCCCTTTCAACTCCTGGATTCCATGAAAACAGCAACTACAAGGGAATCCTACTGGGGACATTCAGAAGACTCGTGTCACAGAGTTATCTGGGCAGGAAATCCCACAGTTCACAGCTGGAGTTTCAGGCTTAATGAGAAGAGCAGCTCATTCCCTGAGGGTCTGTCAGTTTGCATTTCTTAGTGCAAGTTCTTAGATATTGTCTATTCTATTCTTATTAGTTCAAGAGGGTTCTGGAAGCTTCTCTGAATAAAAGAAACAAGCAGAAGTTTCCTGATGTTTGGGTTATTCCTTCAGAGAAGCTGAGTACAGCTGGGTTAAAGTGGTTCTGTCATCTCTTCTGTCAAGGTCAGGCTGACTATAAGAAGAGGCCAGAAGGAGCCTGGGTTTCTCTTTCTCTCTCTCTCTCTCTTCCTTCTGGTGTTCTGTACATAGTATGCTGAGTCTTAAGGTTAAGACTTATTATAAGCTGTGGGAAATTTCAGTTAAGTCTGCTACAACTGAATTTCTTATGGAGAGGGCCAATCCTGTACATTTTGGATTTGTGACCAGTATCCTCATTTGCCTTCAGTAGCAGTTAAGGCTCCGCCGGATGAAATACAATTGCCTCTGGTCTATTTTGGGGGGTTCCTGTAATGTCTTTACATTTTCACTCTGCTAACTATACATTGGAGTTCTGCTCTGGATCAATATTGAGTAGAATTCCATGACTGAAACTGCCTTGGTCGCACTGGTTGATGATCTCCGGCGGGCTAGGGACAAAGGTGAGAGCTGTTTCCTAGTTCTGCTGGATCTCTCAGCGGCGTTTGATACCATCGACCATAACATCCTTCTGGACCGTCTTGGGGGGCTGGGAGCTGGGGGCACTGTCATACAGTGGTTCCGCTCCTTCCTCCTGGGCCGTGTTCAGAAAGTGGTGGTGGGGGATGAGTGTTCAGACCCCTGGGCTCTCACTTGTGGGGTGCCTCAGGGTTCTGTCCTCTCCCCCATGCTTTTCAACATTTACATGCAGCCGCTGGGAGAGATCATCAGGAGGTTTGGGCTGGGTGTTCATCAGTATGCGGATGATACCCAGCTCTACCTCTCTTTTAAATCAGAACCAGTGAAGGCGGTGAAGGTCCTGCGTGAGTGTCTGGAGGCGGTTGGAGGATGGATGGCAGCTAACAGATTGAGGTTGAATCCTGACAAGACAGAAGTACTGTTTTGGGGGGACAGGAGGCGGGCAGGTGTGGAGGATTCCCTGGTCCTGAATGGGGTAACTGTGCCCCTGAAGGACCAGGTGCGCAGCCTGGGAGTCATTTTGGACTCACAGCTGTCCATGGAGGCACAGGTCAAATCTGTGTCCAGGGCAGCTGTTTACCAGCTCCATCTGGTACGTAGGCTGAGACCCTATCTGCCTGCGGACTGTCTCGCCAGAGTGGTGCATGCTCTGGTTATCTCCCGCTTGGACTACTGCAATGCGCTCTACGTGGGGCTACCTTTGAAGGTGACTCGGAAACTACAACTAATCCAGAATGTGGCAGCTAGACTGGTGACTGGGGGCGGCCGCCGAGACCATATAACACCGGTCTTGAAAGACCTACATTGGCTCCCAGTACGTTTCCGAGCACAATTCAAAGTGTTGGTGCTGACCTTAAAAGCCCTAAACGGCGTCGGTCCAGTATACCTGAAGGAGCGTCTCCACCCCCATCATTCTGCCCGGACGCTGAGGTCCAGCGCCGAGGGCCTTCTGGCAGTTCCCTCATTGCGAGAAGCAAAGCTACAGGGAACCAGGCAGAGGGCCTTTTCGGTAGTGGCGCCCGCCCTGTGGAACGCCCTTCCAGCAGATGTCAAAGCGATAAACAACTACCTGACATTCAGAAGACATCTTAAGGCAGCCCTGTTCAGGGAAGTTTTTAACGTGTGATTTTATTGTATTTTTGGTTTTTATGGAAGCCGCCCAGAGTGGCTGGGGAGGCCCAGCCAGATGGGCGGGGTATAAATAATAAATTATTATTATTATGACAGGGTCTTTCTCCATGAAATCAGCTGCCAAAAGAGAAGGCCCCTAGCTCCCCACAGCTTTCCAAGTCCCCTCCTCTCTGGGGTACCTAGCATACGATTGAACAGTGCGCCAGTGTGAAGCCTGCCTTTGCTCCTCCATTGTCAGACGTCTCCTGGCTCTGAGAGACAAGCAGGAAGGGGGGCTTCTGGCAGAAGGAGAGGGAGCCCCCGGTGGCTCCTCCTTCTCCTGACTCACCTCTGACTCTTGACCTCCCTCCTCCCACTTGCCTCCTTCCTCTTCTGCCTCCGATTCTGCACTGCATTCTGCCACAGAGTCTCCCAGCTCACTAAGCCCTGTTTCCCCTTCAGCTTCTGACACCTCCTCTTCCCAGGCGTCTCCCTCTTCTCCCTCTGACCGCTCATCCTTCCTCCACCTCCATTTCTTGGGCTCTGAGACGTCTTCCCTTCCTGGTTCCCCGGCTGCTTCCTCCCACCATTCCTCTGTGCCCAACCAGTCCATGACATTGCTCCATCCCTCGGTCTCTGTCCCCACAAGGCAGATTCTCCTGACCTGATCTGGTTCCACAGCCGCTGCTTCCCTTCTGCCCCCATGAAAAGATGGACCAGGAGGTTTTGCCGGCATCATTCTGTCTCCTGAAAGAGAAAAAAGGTAAGCAGGATGCCAGGCGTGCCCATGTCTCTCACAGGGGAAACAGGGCATCTCTAACTAACTAACACTCAATATGCCAGCAAATTTGGAAAACTCAGCAGTGGCCAGAGGATTGGAGAAGATCAGTCTACATCCCAATCCCAAAGAAGGGCAGTGCCAAAGAATGCTCCAACTACCGCACAATTGCACTCATTTCACACGCTAGCAAGGTTATGCTTAAAATTCTGCAAGGAAGGCTCAAGCAGTATGTGGACCGAGAACTCCCAGAAGTGCAAGCTGGATTTAGAAGAGGCAGAGGAACCAGACACCAAATTGCAAACATGCGCTGGATTATGGAGAAAGCTAGAGAGTTCCAGAAAGACATCTACTTCTGCTTCATTGACTATGCAAAAGCCTTTGACTGCGTCGACCAAAGCAAACTATGGCAAGTTCTTAAAGAAATGGGAGTGCCTGATCACCTGATCTGTCTCCTGAAAAATCTCTATGTGGGACAAGAAGCTACAGTTAGAACTGGATATGGAACAACTGATTGGTTCAAAATTAGGAAAGGAGTACGACAAGGCTGCATATTGTCTCCCTGCTTATTTAACTTATATGCAGAATTCATCATGCGAAAGACTGGGCTGGATGAATCCCAAACTGGAATTAAGATTGCCGGAAGAAACATCAACCACCTCAGATATGCAGATGACACAACCTTGATGGCAGAAAGTGAGGAGGAATTAAAGAACCCTTTAATGAGGGTGAAAGAGGAGAGCACAAAATATGGTCTGAAGCTCAACATCAAAAAAACTAAGATCATGGCCACTGGTTCCATCACCTCCTGGCAAATAGAAGGGGAAGAAATGGAGGCAGTGAAAGATTTTACTTTCTTGGGCTCCATGATCACTGCAGATGGTGACAGCAGCCACGAAATTAAAAGACGCCTGCTTCTTGGGAGAAGGGCAATGACAGGCCTAGGCAGCATCTTGAGAAGTAGAGACGTCACCTTGCCAACAAAGGTCCGTATAGTTAAAGCCATGGTTTTCCCAGTAGTGATGTATGGAAGTGAGAGCTGGACCATAAAGAAGGCTGATCACCGAAGAATTGATGCTTTTGAATTATGGTGCTGGAGAAGACTCTTGAGAGTCCCATGGACTGCAAGAAGATCAAACGCATCCATTCTTAAGGAAATCAGCCCTGAGTGCTCACTGGAAGGACAGATCGTGAAGCTGAGGCTCCAGTACTTTGGCCACCTCATGAGAAGAGAAGACTCCCTGGAGAAGACACTGATGCTAGGAAAGATGGAGGGCACAAGGAGAAGGGGACGACAGAGGATGAGATGGTTGGATAGTGTTTTCGAGGTTACCAGCATGAGTTTGACCAAACTGCGGGGGGCAGTGGAAGACAGGAGTGCCTGGCGTGCTCTGGTCCATGGGGTCACGAAGAGTCGGACACGACTAAACGACTAAACAACAACAACAAAACTACAGATGGGCCTTTCAGAAAGCCTTTCCTGCTGAGTGCAGTTGGACGTTTGTGCCCATTTCATATGCTAGTTGTGCAAAAGTACATCTCCCCTCCACTGGACCCTTGGTCCCAACTGTACCCCCCCCCAAAAAAAAAACCCAAGTTGAAAAGAACCCACAGATTAGTTGGGAAAGCAACAGAAAGAAAAACCGCCTTCCTCCTTACCCAGTGGCCTCTCTCTGGTGTCCAACGGAGGCCTCTCTGCCTCACAGGAATCCAGGTCCATTTCCTCAAAATGATCCTTTTCCTGAAAAAGAAAAAGGATTCCAAACAGAGAAAGGTGAGAAAGATAAGAAAGAGAATGACAAAGACTTGAAGGGTGTGAGATCTCATTCCATGGATGCTTTCCCAGAAAATGGATGGGCCATCAGCAGAGCATTATGGGATGTTCCTTGTCCTGTTTGGAGCCCCTTGGGAGTATCCAGAGGAAAGTCTCCCTCACCTGCTTTCTCTCCTCTGCCTGACTCAGGAGGAAACCTTCGGCCAGGGCCACCGCCTGGGAACTGGTCTCCGCTCCGCATTCCCTCACCCAGCTCTCCATCTCCGGTGGAAGGACAGCCAGGAACTGCTCCAAGATCACCAGGTCCAGCATCTCAGCTTTCGTGTGCCTTTCTGGCTTCAGCCACTGACGGTCAAGGTGGTAGAGTCGGCTGCAAACCTCTCGGGGTCCTTTGGCTTGTAGGTAGCAGAACCAACTGAACTGCCGTTTCTGCCCCTCTGAGCGGAGGGTGTCCTCCTCACCCAGGATCTTCAGCACAGCATTTTCCCAGAATCCCCCACTGCTCCCAGTTTGGTTGGGATGGGCATTTCCTGCTTCTGGGCCAGCTGAATCTCGATCATCCATCTGTGGTCTCAGGAAACTTCTAAGAGATCAGAAGGAACCCTTTGATCTTCGTCTTAATGAGAAGTCCTGGAAATCCTACAAAGCAAATACATTGTTCTGTTACAGAATTTGTAGGTCAGGAGAAGAGAATGCTTCTCTTAAAAAGCATGGATGAGTCTTGCTAGAAACCAGGGCTAGACTGGACCGCAGCCCTTTTTGAAAAGACAGAGGAGGAGGCGGAGGAGAAGCAGAAGAAGACTCTAGCTCTCCTAGAAGGAAGATTGCGATGCAGAATGTGGAGGCAACTGAAGGGGTTTCTGGGAGATGAATCAGCCTGGTTGCTCCAGCCTTCCAGTCAATGCATGAAGTCAGAACTGACTGACAAGGGAGTCATTTGAAAAATGGATGCTTGGCTCTAGTGGGGGTCCTCATCCGGGGGTCCTCAGGAGTTGCTCTCCCCCCACCCCCACTTCTGGGCACATTTCTCCCCTGCTTCTGTCTCCTTTTCTTGCACTTGGACTCTCTCCCGCTCTGAAAAACAGACTCCTGGGGTGGGGTCTCTTTACCTTTGCTCTGAGGGCCAGGAATGTATCTGTTCAACCCCCTGAGGGCCAAATACATCTCCTTTGAAATTTAGGCAGCTAATTTATTATTATTATCCGCTTAGATGGCTTAACATACGCACAGCCATTGATGCCAAGGTCCCTGGAGGCTCAGGGAGTAGCAGCGCCCATTTCCGGCTGGTTTTCCAGCAACAATCCCTTTGGGAGAGAGAGGATGTGGTCCTGGGATGCCCTGCTCTGGGTGCGAGGGGATTGCTGCAGTGGCCTCCGTGGGGAGCTGCCCTGGGAGACACTGGGAAACTGGTCCCCAATGCAGCAGCCGGACTCTGGGCTGGGATCCCTCTCTTTATTCCTCTCCTTTCTCTCCCACTTTTCTTCCTTCCTCCCTGTGGGGTTTTTTTTTTGGGGGGGGGGTGTATAGTCCACCTCCTCGTCCAGCTTTGGAAAACCATTTGCAGATGTTTCCTCTGTTGTGCAATGGGACTCCTTTGTTTAAAGAAGGAGATTGGGGGGGGGGCGGAAGGCCACCTGAGTTTGGGACCCTCTGATCTGCAGGAAGGAGAGCGTGGCAGACCTGGCCCCTCCCTGGCAGGACCCTCTCCTCCTCCCTGACTTGGGGTCCCCCCCTGCAGGAGCAGATCAGGCCCCCCAGGCCCCCTCCCCCGCTGCAGCCCTGGGACCCCCACCAGATCCCAGAGAGAGAGGAGACTCACCAGATCCCAGGAGGGGAGAGCGAGGCAGCCCTTGCAGGAGAGACACCTAAGCAGGAAAGGACTGGGGAGGGAGGGGCCTTGGCTCTGGAGAACCTGGCCCCCCCTTGCTTCCTCTCTAGGAAGGCCGCTCAGTTTCCTTTAACCCTTGCCAAGCCGAGTCCCCTAGCTCGTACACACTCACGTAGCCAGGGCAGAACTCTGATTTCTATTAATTTCTGTCATTTTGAATGGCTCTAAGGGGGCAGCTTCTCCCTGGCTCCGCCTCTGGTAAGGGGTGCTTTTTTGGGGGGAGTTGGCTCTTGGCTGGGCTCTGAGGATCTCCCTCGGTCCCTTTTGGGGGGGCCTTTGGCTCTTGGCTGGGCTCTGAGCATCTCCCTCGGTCCCTTTTTTGGGGGGGCCTTTGGCTCTTGGCTGGGCTCTGAGCATCTCCCTCGGTCCCTTGGGGGGGGGCTTTGGCTCTTGGCTGGGCTCTGAGCATCTCCCTCGGTCCCTTGGGGGGGGCCTTTGGCTCTTGGCTGGGCTCTGAGCATCTCCCTCGGTCCCTTTGGGGGGGGCCTTTGGCTCTTGGCTGGGCTCTGAGCATCTCCCTCGGTCCCTTTTGGGGGGGGCCTTTGGCTCTTGGCTGGGCTCTGAGCATCTCCCTCGGTCCCTTTTGGGGGGGGCCTTTGGCTCTTGGCTGGGCTCTGAGCATCTCCCTCGGTCCCTTTTGGGGGGGGCCTTTGGCTCTTGGCTGGGCTCTGAGCATCTCCCTCGGTCCCTTTGGGGGGCCTTTGGCTCTTGGCTGGGCTCTGAGCATCTCCCTCGTCCCTTTGGGGGGGGCCTTTGGCTCTTGGCTGGGCTCTGAGCATCTCCCTCGGTCCCTTTTGGGGGGGCCTTTGGCTCTTGGCTGGGCTCTGAGCATCTCCCTCGGTCCCTTTGGGGGGGCCTTTGGCTCTTGGCTGGGCTCTGAGCATCTCCCTCGGTCCCTTTTGGGGGGGCCTTTGGCTCTTGGCTGGGCTCTGAGCATCTCCTCGGTCCCTTTTGGGGGGGGCCTTTGGCTCTTGGCTGGGCTCTGAGCATCTCCCTCGGTCCCTTTGGGGGGGGCCTTTGGCTCTTGGCTGGGCTCTGAGCATCTCCCTCGGTCCTTTTGGGGGGGCCTTTGGCTCTTGGCTGGGCTCTGAGCATCTCCCTCGTCCCTTTTGGGGGGGCCTTTGGCTCTTGGCTGGGCTCTGAGCATCTCCCTCGGTCTCTTTGGGGGGGCCTTTGGCTCTTGGCTGGGCTCTGAGCATCTCCCTCGGTCCCTTGGGGGGGGCCTTTGGCTCTTGGCTGGGCTCTGAGCATCTCCCTCGGCTCCCTTTTGGGGGGGGCCTTTGGCTCTTGGCTGGGCTCTGAGCATCTCCCTCGGTCCCTTTTGGGGGGGGCCTTTGGCTCTTGGCTGGGCTTCTGAGCATCTCCCTCGGTCCCTTTGGGGGGGCCTTTGGCTCTTGGGCTGGGCTCTGAGCATCTCCCTCGGTCCCTTGGGGGGGGCCTTGGGCTCTTGGCTGGGCTCTGAGCATCTCTCTCGGTCCCTTTTGGGGGGGCCTTGGGCTCTTGGCTGGGCTCTGAGCATCTCCCTCGGTCTCTTTTGGGGGGCCTTTGGCTCTTGGCTGGGCTCTGAGCATCTCCCTCGGTCCCTTTGGGGGGGCCTTTGGCTCTTGGCTGGGCTCTGAGCATCTCCCTCGGTCCCTTTTGGGGGGGGCCTTTGGGCTCTTGGCTGGGCTCTGAGCATCTCCTCTCGGTCCCTTTTGGGGGGGCCTTTGGCTCTTGGCTGGGCTCTGAGCATCTCCCTCGGTCCCTTTTGGGGGGGCGCTTTGGCTCTTGGCTGGGCTCTGAGCATCTCCCTCGGTCCCTTTGGGGGGGGACTTTGGATCTTGGCTGGGCTCTGAGCATCTCCCTCGGTCCCTGGGGGGGGGACTTTGGATCTTGGCTGGGCTCTGAGCATCTCCCTCGGTCCCTTTTGGGGGGGGCATTTGGCTCTTGGCTGGGCTCTGAGTATCTCCCTCGGTCCCGTTTGGGGGGGTCTTTGGCTCTTGGCTGGGCTCTGAGCATCTCCCTCGGTCCCTTTGGGGGGGGCTTTGGCTCTTGGCTGGGCTCTGAGTATCTCCCTCGGTCCCGTTTGGGGGGTCTTTGGCTTTTGGCTGGGCTCTGAGCATCTCCCTCGGTCCCTTTTTTGGGGGGGTCTTTGGCTCTTGGCTGGGCTCTGAGCATCTCCCTCGGTCCCTTTGGGGGGGGACTTTGGCTCTTGGCTGGGCTCTGAGCATCCCCCTTGGTCCCTTTTGGGGGGGCCTTTGGCTCTTGGCTGGGCTCTGAGCATCTCCCTCGGTCCCTTTTTTGGGGGGGTCTTTGGCTCTTGGCTGGGCTCTGAGCATCCCCCTTGGTCCCTTTTTGGGGGGGCCTTTGGCTTTTGGCTGGGCTCTGAGCATCTCCCTCGGTCCTTTGGGGGGGCCTTTGGCTCTTGGCTGGGCTCTGAGCATCTCCCTCGGTCACTTTGGGGGGGGGGCTTTGGCTCTTGGCTGGGCTCTGAGCATCTCCCTCGGTCCCTTGGGGGGGCCTTTGGCTCTTGGCTGGGCTCTGAGCATCTCCCTCGGTCCCTTTGGGGGGGCCTTTGGCTCTTGGCTGGGCTCTGAGCATCTCCCTCGGTCCCTTTGGGGGGGGGGCTTTGGCTCTTGGCTGGGCTCTGAGCATCTCCCTCGGTCCCTTTTTTGGGGAGCCTTTGGCTCTTGGCTGGGCTCTGAGCATCTCCCTCGGTCCCTTTTTGGGGGGGCCTTTGGCTCTTGGCTGGGCTCTGAGCATCTCCCTCGGTCCCTTTGGGGGGGGGCTTTGGCTCTTGGCTTTTCTCTGAGCATCTCCCTCGGTCCCTTGGGGGGGCTATGGCTCTGGGCTGGGCTCTGAGCATCTCCCTCGGTCCCTTTGGGGGGGGCCTTTGGCTCTTGGCTGGGCTCTGAGCATCTCCCTCTGTCCCTTTGGGGGGGCCTTTGGCTCTTGGCTGGGCTCTGAGCATCTCCCTTGGTCCCTTTTTTGGGGGGCTTTGGCTCTTGGCTGGGCTCTGAGCATCTCCCTCGGTCCCTTTTGGGGGGGTCTTTGGCTCTTGGCTGGG